CCCACCTCTCCTCCCGCCCACCCCGCCCCACGCCCGCCCAGGCTCTGCGCGCGTCGCTCGCAGCGCGCACGCGCCGTGCACTCGACCGCTCAACGGCCGACGCTGCCGGCGGCGTCGCCAACGGCGCCGACGACGCGGTGCTGTCTATGCTTGGCGAGGAGGGTGGTGGCGGCAAGGGCGGCGGGGGGGACGCCACGGGGGGGAGAGGCGGAGGGCGGCGCGGCGGGCGCGGCGGGGCGTGAGTGGGGGGGTAGGCGCCGGCTTCGGTAAGCGGGGCAGCCGACGCCGAGGGGCGAGAGCTGCAGTCTGCACCGCGTGCCGGTGTTCTGGAGGGTGTGGCGCGTGCGATGGCCGATGCCGCGGCCCCCCGAAGCGCCCGAGAGCCGAGATCTCCATTATGCGCCTCGCGTATAGGGCTCGTTGGCGACATCTTGGAGCGCAGTTGATATTGTGCCCATCAATGGCGAGAGCGGTGAGCGTTCGTGTGTCAGATCTTTTGAAACACTGCCACGGCAACACAGGCAGCGGCTGGGCGTTTCGGGCGGATCCCAGTCCGCCGCCTGGCGTCGCCCCCCGCAGGCCCCTGCGCCCTGGCCACCACAACACAAGGTGATTGACAAGGCGGATGTTGACACGGCAGCCCAAACAAGGAACCGAAGAACGGCGATCGCCCGTCCGCCGCCAATGGATCTATCCCACGCGCTCCTATCCCGACACAGAGCTCTGCCCAAGGGAGTGGCAGAGGCGAGCCGCCGTCAGCCAGCGCCGCCTCTGCGTGCCATACAACCCGCCTAGTCCTCGACGGGGCCGGCGAGCAGCGAGATGATGCCGGCGAGGGTGGCCAGGCCGATGATCGGGATCGTGTACCCACCAAAGTCGCCGGCGTTGGCCGCGAGCATCAAGCCAGCCGACGAGACGGCAGCGGCAGCGGCGTCAGCAGCGGCGCCCTCGACAACCATCGTCGGCGCGACGGCACGCGAGACGGGCGCAGCGAGCTGCGAGTCTGCGGCGGGGAGGCGGCAGTCAGCGACCGCTGGCGGCCTCCGGCCGAGCTGTGCGCCCGCCGAGGGTCGTCTGCGCGCGGCGGGGCGCGCACTCTTCATCGGCAGGCCCGACTGCACAAGCGCGTTGGCCACGCAGAGCAGAGCGGCGAAGACGAACAGAATGCGCATCATGGTTGGTGACCTAGGCGACAGCCGAGCGCGCGTGAGGACGAGCAGCGTCCTGCCGGCTCACCACATCTCCGGCTCACCAAATGGGCGAAGCGAGAAGAATTTTGAGGGGTACTTTATCTGGGCTTCACTTCCTAGCATCCGTGAGGATACATTGGAGCGTACTAGGGTCCGTCTGGAGTCGTCGCGTGCCTCCACAAGGAAGAGCTACGCAGTACCTGACATCCCAATCCGTGAAGACTGGCAGGAGGGATGAAGACCCTTCATATGAGAAGACGCTCCTATCCCGGGCTCTGTGCACATCAGAGTTGCGCGTTCTACGGCGCGCGCGCGCGGTGGAGGCCTGAAATGGGAAGGGACAGAAGAAAAACTTGCATCTGCGGGGCGAGGTGAGGATGGAGACCAGAGAAGACTGTGTCTTGTGAGCTTGTTTGTTTGTGTCTGAGGGAGGGTGTAGAGGATGTAGAGTGTAGAGCGCTGTAGAGCTGTAGAGATGTAGAGCGCTGTAGAGCTGTAGAGCTCTACATCCGGCGCGTGACGATGTGAGTCGCCTGTAGAGCGATGTAGAGCGCGATTTTGCTGTAGAGTTTGTTGTAGAGGCTCTACAGCCAAACCGCCGGGACTAAGGCAGTGACTCAAAGAGGTCGAGCCGCGCTAATGGGGTGTCTCCGAGCTTACTGGAGCTCTGATGGACAGCCCTGACTATCCCTGACACACAGGGAGTCACTCTGACGGCACACAACACCCTATGACTGCGTCATGACCAGCCTGCCATGTGTCGCCGGTGCCGCATTCGTCGCTGTGCTTCTTTAGCAGGCGGTGGACTGTCGGCTGCGAGGACGGTCGCATTTGCGCGAGGCGAGGCGAGCATTGCTGCGCGTTGCATGCGCCATGACTCGCGCCAACGCGTGCGGGAGCTCCTGGCTGAGCGTTGAGTCCAGGTGAGTTGCGCTGGCCACTATCGCTACGCCGAGCCGAGCTGACGCGCCGAGGCGCCGGCCAGTCGCAGCCGTGAGGCATGCCACAGCAGCAGAGGCACCTGCCACCCATTGGGCGGGCAGACAGAAGGCCAGGGCAGCACTGGCAAGTGCAACGCGCCTCATGTCGGAGAGCGACCGTGCCTCGTTCGCCGCTTATGATGTAGAGTTTGTTGTAGAGATTTCACGTTGTAGAGCGCCTCTACATCGCTCTACAGGCGACTCACATCGTCACGCGGCGGATGTAGAGCTCTACAGCTCTACAGCGCTCTCCAGCGCTCTACATCTCTACAGCTCTACAGCGCTCTACACTCTACATCCTCTACACCCTCCCTCAGGTTTGTGTCTGTGTGTCGCTCGTGCGTGTCGTCATCATCTGTCCCGCGCCCAAAGGGCGAGGTGAGGATGGAGAGAAGACTGTAGATAGAGCTGTAGAGCACTGTAGAGCACTGTAGAGCGCTGTAGAGCTGTACAGCTCTCTACATCGGGCGCGGGACGAACCGCCTGCGTTGTAGATCGATGTAGAGGCGCTCTACAACGTGAAATCTCTACAACAAACTCAGAACATCATAAGCGGCGAACGAGGCACGGTCGCTCTCCGACATGAGGCGCGTTGCACTTGCCAGAATTCACTTGCCAGTGCTGCGCTGGCCTTCTGTCTGTCTGCCCGCCCGATGCGCAATGGGTGGCAGGCCGCCTCTGCTGCTGTGGCATGCCTCACGGGTCACGGCTGCGACTGGACGGCGCCTCGGCGCGTCAGCTCGGCTCGGTGTAGCGATCGTGGCAGCGCAACTCGCCTGGACTCAACGCTCAGCCAGAGGAGCTCCCGCACGCGCTGGCGCAAGTCATGGCGCATGCAACGCGCCCACCGCGGCGACGCATGGCAGGCTGGTCTCATGACGCAGTTATACGTTCCCTGGGCGGTCGAGTGCACGGAGCTTAGGCGGCTCCCGTGGTGTACTGTGTTAGTTAGTGCCAGTGCGCGCCAGTCCCGCGCCTGATGTCGCGTGAGAAAGAAAGAAAGAAAGAAAACAACAGGCCAAGGGAGGAGTGGGAGGACGGCACGCACGCCCCACCACACAGGGATTTTAAGGAGAGGAGTGTGGTGCTAGCCGTCGCCCTCCCTTGGGCGTCTGCCTCTTCCTATCTCTCTTCGCAGTGGCTCGCCGATTCTCGCTGTGAGATGGCTCGATGTGAGTCAGCGAAACGACGCGCGGGAAATTCTTTTCCCACGGTGTACCTGCGTTAGTGCCCGTGCGCGCTGTCGCGCAAAAAAGAAAGCCACCGGAAATTCTTTTGCTCCGCGATGGCGGCGATCTTGGGCATCATGTCTTCCGCTGCCACGACTCCGGCCGTGCGGTCGACCACAACACTAACGCTGCTGCTGACCGCCCTCGCTGGCCCGCGCACGGCTGCGCTCTCGCTCTCGCTGCCCGGAGGGCGGTGGTTTCGGGAGCGCGGTGCGGTGACGCAGACCAGAGTCGCAGTGCTTGGCGGAGGCTTTGCGGGCCTCACTGCCGCCCGCACGCTGGTGGCGAGCCACCCGGGCGTGGAGGTGCTGCTCTGCGATCAGCGCGAGTTCTTCGAGTACACGCCCGGCATCCTTCGCGCGTGGGTGGAGCCGAGCGTCCATCCTCGGCTCGTCAACCCGATCCGGCGGCTGCTGCGCGGGCGTCGCGCCTCGTTCCGGCGGGTGCCGCCTGGGTGCGCGGTGGCGGTGGAGGAGAGCACCGTCGAGGCCGCGCTGCCCGCGACGAGCGATGAGCCGACGCGGCCACTTCGCTTCACCATCGGGCGTGGCGCAATCTCGCCGCCCGCCGGACTGTGATTCATTTTCTCACGCGTGGGGTGGTGATGTGGACTCAGGCGTGGCGCCGAGTCGCCGCTGGTCGACGACCCTAGAAGCGGAACACGTGCTCTTGTATTCCAACTCGCGCTCGAGGAGGGGACACGCACTCCGCCGCATCCGACCGTATCAAGCTGCAGTCATTGCATTCGTCTCCCTCGTACTCACCCAGCGTGAACGCTCTGAACTCTGCACAGTGCTCTCTTCCCGCCCTGAGGTTGGTGTCCTCCACGCAGGTCGACTACCCGTGCGACTACGTCGTCCTCGCTCCCGGCGGAGACCTCTCCCCCATCACAGACGACCGCGAGGCGGACGGTACCATCGTCGGGCGGCGCGCGCGGCTCAAGCGACAGGTCGAGGCGGCGCTGAGCAGCGGTGAGTCGGACAGTTGTGAGGAGTGAGGAAGGAGCCACCCTCCGCAGGTCGAGGCGGTGCTGAGCAACGCCTCCTCCGCGCTGGTCGTCGGCGGCGGGCTCACCGGCGCCGCGCAGAGAGATGGAGAGTGCGCATACTCAGACCGGCGACCGGTGCACCGGTGCGGTGTGTGGGCGGACGCTAGGCGTGGGATGACGGCCACACTGGAGCTAACATACACACACGCGCACACACCCACCCACGCACGCACGCACGCACGCACGCACGCACGCACGCACGCACGCACGCACGCACGCACGCACACGCACGCACACACACACACACGCACACTCCGAGAGAGAGAGAGAGAGAGAGAGAGAGAGAGAGACAGACAGACAGACGCAGACCGGCGTCGCTGGTTTCGCGCTGGCCTCGCCCTGGCCTCATCCCCCCCCCGGAGAGCCCGCCCGAGATCAGCCGAGGTCAGCCCAGATGGTGCGAGGTTAGGCGTCGAGCTTGCGGCGGAGCTGGCGGAGAAGCTCGGGCCTGGAGCGGTGAGCTTTTGCCGTCGGCCTCGATACGAGTGTAGGCCGGAGTCGCACTAGGCTCAGTGGGGAACCTCTCCCAATAGGTCACGCTCGCCGTCGGCCCCACTCTCCCGCGGAGGGGAAGCTACCCCGGCGACCCGGCCGCCGGCTCGCTGCCCTGTCCAGGACACGTCCACGACCCGTCCGAGGCATGTCCCACAGGCGACCCGGGCGCCGGCTTGCTGCCTGGATTCCGCGACACGTGCAGCTTGCCCCTCCCCACCCCCGGCCAACCTCGGCCGATCTCGGCTGATCTCGGCCGATCTCGGCCGATCTCGGCCGATCTCGGCTGATCTCGATGGGAAGGTGCAACCAGCCCCTCCGCAACTTGGGCCGAGGAGGCGTCGAGCGGTACGCGCGCACGTGGCTGGCGAGGGCGGGGGTGTCCATTCTCAAGAGCTGGGCGGTGAAGAAGGGCGGCCGCCCAACTCTGCTCCTCTCGGCTCCCCTCGGCTCACCTCGCCGAGTGCGTGGCCAGGTCCCTCCGCCGGCCGACAGCACCCTCGGCGCAAAGGTCGGCGCTGCCCGGCGAGGAGAGCTCCGTGGAACCTTCCGCGAACTGTCTCGGAACCGTCCTGCAGGCGGCACTGCCCGGCGCGAGGCCACGCACGCCAACGGCGGCGGCGCGGCCGCAGTACGCGCGCTCCTCCGCCTCACTGGCTCCGCCTCACGCTGGCTCCCGCTCGTCGCAGGCGCGGCCGCAGTGCGCGCGTTCGTGGCGCGACGTCGGGAGCGGCGAGGTGCGGCGACGCGGCGTGGGGAGAGGAGCTGAGAGGAGCGGAGATGCGCCGAGATGCGCCGAGATGCGCCGAGATGCGCCGAGATGCGCCGAGATGCGCCGAGGTGAGCCGAGGTGAGCCGAGGTGAGCCGAGGTGAGCCGAGATGCGGCGACGTTAGGTGCTCGACGGCGACGCGGCGTGGGAGAGGGCGGGGCCGGAGGCGGACATCCGGGCGGACGCTGTGTTTGACTGCCGCGGTCTCCGCCCCCACCACATGGCCCAACCACATGGCCCAGCCACATGTCCCAGCCACATGGCCCAACCACATGTCCCAGCCCCGCCACTCGTCACGAGTTGCCGGTGAGACGAGTTGCCGGTGAGTGCACTGCCCCTTCCCAGGCATCCGCCCAACCACGCGGCAGACGTACACGCGCTACCGCAGCAACCCGGACACGGGGCTGAGGGTGTCCAGCTTCGGCCTCCCCGCCGGCGTCGTCGGCGGCGGCGGCTGGCTGCGAGTCGACGGCCGCTTCCGCCTCTCTCGGCCTGCGGCGGCGGGCGGGGCGGCGGGCGGGGCGGCGGGCGGGGCGGCGGGCGGGGCGGGCGGGTGGGGGGAGGAGGAGGGGGCGGAGGGGGAGGGGGAGGGGGAGGAGGAGGAGGAGGGGGCGGCGCGGGTGAGCGTCTTTGACGGCCGCGTGTACTGCGTCGGCGACGCGGCCGAGCGGTGCGAGTCCGAGCGTGTCCCTCGCCAGGGAGGAGGCGAGGGGAGCCCGCGGTGTAGGCGACGCGGCCGAGAAAGACAAGTCCGAGAGGACGGCGGCCAACGCCCACGCCGAGGGGGAGTACGTCGCGCTCGACATCGCGAGGCGCGTCGACGGGCGTGCGGCGATGCCGCTGTACGAGGTCGTGCGAGGTAGGGGGAGACTGTGTGTGAGATTGTGGGAGACTGGCCTGCGATGCCGCTGTACGAGGCGCAATCTCGCTCGATCCCGCGCAATCTCGCTCGATCTCGCGCAGGCTGCGGTCACAGCCTCGCGCTCGCGCCCCCTCAGGCGCCCCCGCGGCTGTGCGCGATCTCGCTCGGCTCCCGCGACGGCGTGGTTGTGCTGGGCGCGTGGGTCGCGCTGCGCGGCTACCTCGCCGCTCTCGTGAAGAAGCTCATCCAGTGGCACGCAATCTCCCCACAATCTCCCCACAGTCTCCCCACAACCTCCCCACAGTCTCCCCACAGTCTCCCCACAGTCTCCCCACAGTCTCCCCACACTCGCCCACACTCTCCCGCAATCTCCCTCGAACCCCTCTCAGGTACTTTGTCCACTTCCTGCCGCTCCCCTACGGCCTGATGCGCCGCCTCCCCTTCCGGCAGCGGCGGAGGTGCGGGAGATAACCCGAGATGACCCGAGATGACCCGAGATGGCCCGAGATGGCCCGAGATGGCCCGAGATGACCCGCCTCCCCTTCCGGCAGCGGCACCCGTGCCCCCCCAGCAATCTCTCGCCATCTCCTGCACCCTCCCGCACCCTCCCGCACCCTCCCGCACCCTCCCGCAATCTCCCGCAATCTCCCGCAACCTCCCGCACTCTCCCGCACCCTCCCGCAATCTCCCGCAATCTCCCCTCAGGTACGGCGGCACTCGCGGCGCGCCCGCCTCCATCCAGGTGAGCACGCAATCTCGCCCAATCTCGCCCAATCTCGCCCAATCTCGCCTGATCTCGCCCGATCTCGCCCAATCTCGACCGATCCCCCCCCCCCCCCCGGGGGCCTCCACCACCCAGGTTGCTCGCTCGGGCGCGAGCGGCGTCACGCGCGCCGCAAAGACGGGCGGGGCGTGGGAGGAGAGGCCGACACCCGATCTCCCGCGATCTCCCGCAATCTCCCGCGAGGAGACGCCGACCGCCGATCTGCCGACCACGCCGCAGCCGCCGCGGGCAACGGCGGCAGAGGGCGGCGCCGAAGCGCGACCGCCCGCCGCAACACTCTCTCCCGCCTCCGCCGCTGCCGCCGCCGCCGCCGCCGCCGCCGCCGCCGCCGCCGCCGCCGCCGCCGCCGCCGCTCCCGCTCCCGCTCCCGCCGCCGCCCCACCGCCGCCGCCGCCGCCGCCGCCGCCGCTGCCAGCTGCTGCAGAGGCTGCGGGATCGACCGGCTCTTCTCCGTCGGTGGGGTCGGCGGCGGCCGCTTTCCGCGATGGCGGCCTCTCGACGGCGAACGCGCTGGTCGAGGCGGTCGAAGGTGCGCTCGGCAGCCCCGCACCCCGGCCTGTGAAACAAGGAGCACCCGCTGCCAGCGCAGACTCCGTTGTCCCAGGTGCGCTCGGCAGCACGGCCCTTGGCCGCGGCGACGGCGCCGAGTCTCCCGTCGTGTTGAGCGACGAGATCTGCCTCGTGCCTGGCAAGCCGGTGGAGATCAGCCGAGATCAACCGAGATCAGCCGAGATCAGCCGAGATCTGCCTCGTGCCTGGCAAGCAGGCGGCTCATCTCGGCTCCTCTCGCTCCCTCTCGGCTCCTCTCGGCCCCTCTCGGCTCCTCTCGGCTGCTCCTCTCGGCTCCTCTCGGCCCCTCTCGGCTCCTCTCGGCTGCTCCTCTCGGCTCCTCTCGGCTCCTCTCGGCTGCTCCTCTCGGCTCCTCTCGGCTCCTCTCGGCTCCTCTCGGCTCCTCTCGGCTGCTCTCGGCTTCTCTCGGCTCCTCTCGGCTCCTCTCGGCTCCTCTCGGCTCCTCTCGGCTCCTCTCGGCTCCTCTCGGCTCCTCTCGGCTCCTCTCTGCTCCTCTCTGCTCCTCTCTGCTCCTCTCTGCTCCTCTCGGCTCCTCTCGGCTCCTCTCGGCTCCTCTCGGCTCCTCTCTGCTCCTCTCTGCTCCTCTCGGCTCCTCTCGGCTCCTCTCGGCTTCTCTCGGCTCCTCTCGGCTCCTCTCGGCTCCTCTCGGCTCCTCTCGGCTCCTCTCGGCTCCTCTCGGCTGCTCTCGGCTGCTCTCGGCTTCTCTCGGCTCCTCTCGGCTCCTCTCGGCTCCTCTCGGCTCCTCTCGGCTCCTCTCGGCTCCTCTCTGCTCCTCTCGGCTCCTCTCGGCTCCTCTCGGCTCCTCTCGGCTCCTCTCGGCTCCTCTCGGCTCCTCTCGGCTCCTCTCGGCTCCTCTCGGCTCCTCTCGGCTCCTCTCGGCTCCTCTCGGCTCCTCTCGGCTCCTCTCGGCTCCTCTCGGCTCCTCTCGGCTCCTCTCGGCTCCTCTCGGCTCCTCTCGGCTCCTCTCTGCTCCTCTCTGCTCCTCTCTGCTCCTCTCTGCTCCTCTCGGCTCCTCTCGGCTCCTCTCGGCTCCTCTCGGCTACGAAGGTCGTACTCGGCTACTCTCGGCTGATCTTCTGCAGGTGGTCCGCGTCGAGGCGGCGCCGGGCAACGCGCGCCGCATCTTTACGGGGATCGACGTCGTCGCGCTCGGCTGCGACGTCGAGGAGATGGTGTGGGGCGACGCTCACCGACTACGCTGCCCCACCCCCTTTTCTTTTCTACCGGCCGCTGCTCCTCAGGTGTGGGCGACGCTCACCGACTACCAGAACCTCGCCAAGGTCGTGCCGAACCTCGTCTCGAACACCGTACTCTCGGCGGAGGCGCACGTCGGCGCGCGGCTGCAGCAGGTCGGCGCGGCCAGGCTGGGAGGCGTCGCAACCTTCACCGCCCAGACGACCCTGGACGTGCGCGAGTATCGGCACGGCCTTCCGCCGAACATGGAGGCGGAGACTCGCCGAGATCAGCCGAGATTGAGCGGGAGCAGCCGAGAGTGCCGAGACTCGCCGAGATTCGGGGTGATTCGGTGAGATTCGACGGGGTTCGACGGGGTTCGGCGGGATTCGGCGGGATTAGGCGGACCACCTCGACGGCCAGGCAGAACAGGCCTCCGCGCGAGATTGGGGCGGCGCTTATCATTCATTACTTCATTGGTACCCACTTAATTAACAATAGGCCTCCGCGCGCGAGATCGGGGCGGCGCTGCCGCTCCGCGACGGCGTCTTCCCTCGCCCGTACTCCATCTCCTCGCTGCCACACCGCGACATCACGATGAAGGCACGCCTCGCCTCCGTCACACTTCCGAGACACTTCCGAGACACACGCTCGCGGATCCCTCGCCGCTAGGCCGTCGGGTAACCTCGGGTAACCTCAGGTGGTCTCGGGTAGTCTCGAGTCATCTCGGGTCATCTCACGCCGCTAGGCCGTCGGCGGCGACTTCCGGCACTACCAGGGCGTCTGGCGGATGCAGTCGCTTCCGGGCTGCGCGCCGCCAGGCACGTTGCTAGACTCTTCCTGGATACCAGACACTCCCTAGACGCTGCCGGGCTGCGCGCCGGGTCGCTATGGCCGCCGCCCGCCGGCGGTTTGCTCGCACACGCGGAGACCAGCAGCAGCTGACCAGTGGCGTCTCTTGTCGGCGTCTCGGCGCACGCAGGCCACACAGCGATGCGACTGACGTACTCGGTCGAGCTGAGCCCGCGCGCGTGGGTGCCGATCGCCCTGATCGAGGGCAACGTCGCGAGGACACTGGGCGAGAACCTCGAGGCGAGTCGCGGCCTTGTCATTCCTCGCTAGTCATTGGTGGTGAGGTGTTACTGATTCGTTCTTCTGTGTCGAGGCGATCCGCGACTTCGTCGTCGAGCAGGGAGAGTGCTGCCAGGTGGAGGACGAGGGCCGCGAAGAGAGCGATGAAGCCCGTTGAGGAGCGAGGGCCGAGAGAGGCCGCGTGGCATGAAAGAAGCATGAGCGTACGACGGCTGTACACGGAGCTAGGGCACTACAACTCTCACACTGAGTCTTTTGGAGTCGAGAGTTTACTGGACAGACTTGATTATAGTGCGCGTTGGGCGGTGTGTTTTTCGGCGTCACTTCTCGCAAACCAGCGCTTTCCTGATTGCACCTGGACGTTACTGCACCTCGGTGCTCGGTGTCGGATATCCTCATCAACAGACAACACGTCACGACAGCGCGCGCCCGTCCAACGAAACTCGAAACAAAGAGGGGTTCAGAGCTAGACCCGCAAGTCGCGAAACTCCTGGGCGCAATCGCGCAGCGCACGCGCACGCGTTCGCTCGTCGAGCTTGCCGAGGTACTCCCGCAACATCCGCTGGCACCGGCGCCGCTCCGCCTCGCGGTAGACCTCGATCGACGCGAACACGCCGTTGCCGGGCGGCGCGATGTTGTACCGGCAATGTGCGACGTGGTGGTGGGCGTCGCCGTTGGCGTCGTGCAAGCAATAGGCGCAGAAGCCATGGGGCGGCATGGTGCACCCTACTCGACTGCAAGAGAGCGCAAAGCAGCCCTCGAAGTCGATGAAGGCCTGGCCGCAGCGCGGGCACGTTGGGTTGAGGATCTTCTCGATGATGTGCGTGCGCACCTGCGCAGCCCGCACGTCCTCGTCGCGCCTCGCGAGCTCCGCCTGGAGCCGAGCGACCTCAGCGGCGCTCCTTTGCTTCGCCGCAAGTTCGATTCGCTGCTCAGCTACCTTGCTCTTCGCGTTGAAGTACAGAGCAAACGTCACGTCCGGCAAGCGGCTCGCCAATGCAGCGTCGGTGTACGCAGGCGCGCAGCACGTGCCGGGGACAATCGGCTGGCCGGCGCGCGGCGCGATGAAGCTGGGGCAGCGCACGCCGCCACGCTGCTCGAAGCGGCGGAGGTTGGCATCCTCGTGGTCGGTCACCTGCCCCGTGACGTACGTGCCCAGGCAGCCATTGCACATGAAATGCGCCTCAGCTCGGGCAGGCGCCGAGCACTCGATGCCCTCGTTGAGGCTGTAGTCACAGAAGCAGATTACGCAAGTGCGCTGCTGCTGCGCCGCAGAAGCCGCGGCGACGTCGGCGTTCGCGGCGTGGCGCGCAAGCTCGGCGCGCGCTGCGGCAAGCTGCCCCTCCTCGGCCGTCGGGGCGCACTGCTCGCGCTCCAGCCGCACGAGCCGCTGCAGTGCCGCCTGCAGCGAGCAGCGCTTCTTGTACTTGTCAAGACAGTTGCGCGCCAGAGCGCTCAGCGCCTGCATGACAGCGGCGGGCCACTCGCCGGCGCGCCCGTCAAAGGCATCATCCACCTCCTCGTCCTCGTCCTCGATGAAGACGGTGTAGAGATTGCGCCGCTGGTTCTGCACCTCCCCCGTGATCAGCTCGAGCAGCACGATGCCGAATGAATACGCCTCCGACTTGTCGTCGAACGCACCGCCGTTGGCGTAGCGCGGGCACATGTAGCCCGGCGTGCCAAAGCGGCCGCCCGTCGAGGTCTGCAGCCCGCCAGCCTCGGCGGGGATGTGCTTGGCGAGGCCGCAGTCGATTAGCGCCGGCGAGAGGTCGGCGTGCAGGCAGATGTTGGCAGCCTTGACGTCGCGATGGAAGCAGCGGTCGCCGCCGCCGCCGCGGTGGAGGTAGTTGAGCGCCTTGGCGACACCCGCCGCCACGCGCGCGCGCACACGCCAGGTGAGCTCGCCAGCGCGCCCGTCGTCCTGCAGCGCGGCGTCGAGCGCACCGCCTGGGAGCAGCTCGTAGACGAGGCAACGATCGGCGCCAGAGATCGCGAACCCGAGGAGGCTGACGATGTGCGGATGCCGGAAGCGCGAGAGCACTCGCACCTCGCGCTCTGCGGCGCGATGCATGGCCGCGAGCGCCGCCGCATCGTTACCGCGGACCAGCTCGTCCTTGAGCTTCTTGACAGCGAAACGGGCGCCGCTCACCGCGTCGATGCCGCGGAAGACGCGCCCAAAGGCGCCCTCGCCCAAGCCGCGCTCGGTCCAGTTGAAGTCGGAGGTGCACTCTGCGAGGTAGGCGAGGGGAACCTCCACAGGCGGCGTGGCGCCACGCGCGTTGAGGGTCTGCAGTAGGCTGGCGCGGGCTCGCTCTCTGTTTAACGTCAGCTCCTCTTTCTCCGGTTCTTGCTGCTGCTGCGGAGGTGGCGGCGACTGTGCCTGTGCCTGCTGCTTCGGCGCCTCCGACTGTGAAGTTGCGCCTTTCATCGACTCTGCCATTGCCCATGCCAATTGTTCATCTTCACTTGGAGTGGGCACGTCGCTGCCGCACTGCTCGGCGAGGAAGTGGAGCGCGTCGACGTGTCTACCGCGAGCGGCGAGTCGCGCTGGCGTGTCGCCGTTCGCAGCCGCAGCCGTCAGCGCCCCGCTGCCGCACTGCTTTGCGAGGAAGCGGAGCACGTCGACCTGGCCATTGAAAGCGGCGTCATGCGCTGGCGTGTAGCCGTTCGCATTCGCAGCCGTCAGCACCTCTCCGCCGCACTGCTCGGCGAGGAAGCGGAGCGCGTCGACATGGCCATAGTCAGCGGCGAGGTTCGCTGGCGTGTTGCCGCTTGCGTTCGCAGCAATCAGCACCTCTCGCCCGCACTGCTCGGCGAGGAAGCGGAGCACGTCGACCTGGCCATTGAAAGCGGCCCGGTGCGCTGGCGTCCAGCCGTCCGCATCAGCCGTCAGCGCCTCTCTGCCGCACTGCTCGGCGAGGAAGCGGAGCACGTCGACATGGCCATTGATAGCGGAGACGTGCACTGGCGTGTGGCCATTCGCATTCGCAGCCATCAGAGCCTCTCTGCCGCACTGCTTGGCGATGAAGCGGAGCGCGTCGACGTGACCATCGCGAGCGGCGATTAGAGCTGGCGTGTCGCCGTCCGCACCCGCAGCCGTCAGCGCCTCTCTGCCGCACTGCTCGTCGAGGAAGCGTTGCGCGTCGGCATGACCATAATTAGCGGCAAGTCGCGCTGGCGTGTCGCCGTTCGCAGCCGCAACCGTCAGCGCCTCTCTCCCGCACTGCTCGGCGAGGAAGCTGAGCGCGTCGACATGGCCCTCTTGGGCGGCCCTGTGCGCTGGCGTGTAGCCGTCCGCAGTCGCAGCTGACAGCGCCTCTCTGCCGCACTGCTCGGCGAGGAAGCGGAGCACGTCGACATGGCCTTTGATAGCAGCCCAGTGCGCTGGCATGACGCCATTCGCAATCGCAGCCGTCAGTGCCTCGCTGCCGCAAACATCGGCGAGATAGCGGAGCGCGTTGATGTGGCCATTGGCAGCAGCCCAGTGCGCTGGCGTGGCGCCGTCCGCAATCGCAGCCGTCAGTGCCTCGCTGCCGCACTGCTCGGCGAGGTAGCGGAGCACGTCGACATGTCCATTGACAGCGGCGCTGTGCAATGGCGTCACCGGGCTGCCGTCAGCGTTCGCAGCCTTCAGCGCCTCTCTGCCGCACTGCTCGGCGAGGAAGCGGAGCACGTTGATATGGCCATTGAGAGCGGCGGCGTGCGCTGGCGTGTCGCCGTTCGCAATCGCAGCCGTCAGTACCTCTCTGCCGCACTGCTCGGCGAGGAAGCGGAGCGCGTCGACATGGCCTTTGATAGCAGCCCCGAGGGCTGGCATGACGCCGCCCGCAGCCGCAGCCGTCAGCGCCTCTCTCCCGCACTGCTTTGCGAGGAAGCGGAGCACGTCGACTTGGCCATTGAGAGCGGCCCTGTGCGCTGGCGTGAAGCCGCCCGCATGCGCAGCCGTCAGCGCCTCTCTCCCGCACTGCTTTGCGAGGAAGCAGAGCACGTCGACATGGCCATTGACAGCGGCCCCGTGCGCTGGCGTGCCGCCGTCCGCAGCCGCAACCGTCAGCACCTCTCTGCCGCACTGCTCGGCGAGGAAGCGGAGCACGTCGACCTGGCCACTGTGAGCGGCGTAGTGCGCTGGCGTGCCGCCGTGCGCATCCGCAGCCGTCAGCGCCTCTCTGCCAGTCTGCTCGGCGAGGAAGCGGAGCGCGTCGACGTGGCCATTGACAGCGGCGTAGTGCGCTGGCGTGCCGCCGTCCGCAGCCGCAGCCGTCAGCACCTCTCCGCCGCACTGCTCGGAGAGGAAGCAGAGCGCGTCGACATGGCCATTGACAGCGGCCGCGTGCGCTGGCGTGGCGCCGTGCGCATCCGCAGCCGTCAGCGCCTCTCTGCCGCACTGCTCAGCGAGGAAGCGGAGCACGTCGACATGGCCATTGACAGCGGCCGCGTGCGCTGGCGTGGCGCCGTGCGCATCCGCAGCCGTCAGCGCCTCTCTGCCGCACTGCTCAGCGAGGAAGCGGAGCACGTCGACATGGCCATTGAAAGCGGCCCGGTGCGCTGGCGTGCGGCCGTGCGCATCCGCAGCCGTCAGCGCCTCTCTGCTTGTCTGCTCGGCGAGGAAGCGGAGCGCGTCGACGTGGCCATTGACAGCGGCGTAGTGCGCTGGCGTGCGGCCGTCCGCAGCCGCAGCCGTCAGCGCCTGTTTGCCGCACTGCTCAGCGAGGAAGCGGAGCACGTCGACATGGCCATCGAAAGCGGCCTGGTGCGCTGGCGTCCAGCCGTTCGCATCCGCAGCCGTCAGCGCCTCGCTGCCGCACTTCTCTGCGAGGACGCGGAGCACATCGACCTTGCCATTGGCAGCTGCCTCTTGCGCACTGTCCGCCATAGCGCGCGATGAGTATCGCCATGGGACGTCCGTTGTCAGCGTTTCCGAGCAGTGGGGCGCCCCGGGGCTTGGTCGGCTCGATTTGAGCACTTGAACAAGGGTTCCCACCTTAAGCACTTGAGCACTGGATAGGGTCGATTCCGCATGGTACGGGACCCCACCTCTTTTTCAGGGTCGATTCCGCATGGTACGGGAGGACCCCTCGAACCTCGATCGTCTGTCTGGGTGTCTCGCCCTCCCTCGATGGTGTGTTCATTCATTGGTTGGACCAGAAGACAGCCAGCCCGGCTTCAGCCCTCTCCATCACTCTCTCTCTCTCGCCCAGGGACCTACAAGATGCACTTAAAAGGTCCGAGAGGTTCGGCACCGGGCACTACCGGGCACCGCCTGGCCTCGGTACACATCAAAATCATGCGCCTCCCAGCGCGCTCGGGCGGGGACGGGCCCCCGGCGCGGCGCCGCCCCACCGTTTAATTGATTTACGCGGACCGAACACACTCACCATGCGAGATGGCATGCCAATAGGGACACGGGGTGCAGACAGGAGGAGGGCGCGCTGCGCGGCGCGCCGCCCGCGCCCTCAACCAGCGGACACCCCGTCTGACTCTGGAGCCCGATCCGACCCGAGCAGACTGGCGCGACACGCGCGTCAAGCAAAGGCGAGTCCGCGGCCGCGGCGGCCGCGCTGCGTCTCTCTGAAGAAGTCCTCGCACGCCTCCCAGTCGCACTCGTAGTCGGCGGTGCGGCCGCGCACCTAATGCCGGCTGGACTCGGCTCATCTCGGCTCATCTCGCAGCTGGCAACGCGGCCGCGCACCGGCCGGCGAGGCAAGCGGCGCGCAAGGAACGCAGCGATGCGCGGCATCGCCGGCAGCGAGAGGAGGAGGTGGCGCAGCAGCGGCAGCCGCAACACCCACCCAAAGTACCAGAGCAGCACCTACACCGCACGCTCCGAGAAGGTTCGTGGAAGGGTCGCGTGGCACACGCCGAGAGGAGCGGAGGTGCACGTCGGCGTTGGCGGAGACGGCGCAGTAAGGCGCGAAGCGTGCGGCGTGCGGCGCGATGGTCGAGAGGTGCGGCGCGAGCGCCTTGATGTGCGGCTGCGCGAGCGCGATGTTCGGCCCGAGCGTGTCGAAGAGCGGCGCGAAGATCGGCAGGTACTGGACGAGGGAGGCGAGGTCGTCCTTCGGCTGGTCGACGTAGAGCAGCAGCGCGTCGAAGTGCTTGAGGATCACTCCCACGTGCGGCGCGAGCACGTCGACGTGGTCGAGGACGAAGGGCAGGTGCGGCTCGATCTGGTCGAACCGCTGCAGCACCTCGTCGAGGTGCGGCTCGACGAGCTCGAGGATGCCTAGAAGGTTCCTAGACGGTTCCTAGACGGTTCCTAGAAGGTTCCTAAAGGCGGCTCGAGGATGCCATCGCGGTCGACGGCAAGTAGGATGCCGGGCGCGTGACGCTCGAGCTTTGCGGCGCGCGCGACGATGGCAGCGGCGTGAGGCACGAGCCGGGAGGAGGAGGAGAGCTGCAGATAGCCGCGCGCGAGCGTCACGTTGCTGCCCAGCCGGAGCAGCGAGGCCGCGTCCTGGCGAAGCGCGTCCCACGGGTCCGCCTGCCGCAGCCGCGTCCAGAGCACGCGCGCGCTCCTCTCCTCGCTGGCGGTGAAGGTCTCCGCAGCGCGCGCAGCGACGCCGAGCCAGCCGGGCCGCTCCTCCGCCCCGAGCCGCGCCTTGTACCGAAGGATCGACGCCTCCGCCTGCCCCGCGGCGCGGCGCAGCTGCGCGACGCGCTCCTGCCGCGCGACCCGCACCGCCGGAGCCTCTGGGCGGCCAGCGCGGTACTCTCGCGCGGCGAGCGCCTCGAGCTCTCGTGAGCACCGCTCGACCTCCGCCCGCCGCTCGGCGATGCGCCACCGCAGCACCGCCCGACGCTTGGCCGTGAAGCCCTGCTCGCCGCCGAGCAGCCGCTGCAGAGGCTTGCCGAGGCCCGGGAAGAGCGTGGCGATGACGCCGGCGCGGGCGCCGACGAACGGCGTCTCTCCGCCGATTGGAGCACGAGCGGTCGACAGAGTGGGCAGGGCGAGCGCGGAAAGCGGAAGCAGCGCGGGCAGGGCGGAGAGAGCGGAGAGCGGCAGGAGGACGGCGAGCATCACGGAGAGGAGGGGTTGAGGGAGGCGGCGGCGGAGAGCGCTCCGAAAGGGTGTGTACTGTCTGTGCTTGTGCGTCTTGGGTCCGGCGCGGTGTTTTTCTGTGCACAGCGCGCCGAGCTGCGGCCGGAAGAGATGCGCGCGCTGAATTCTTTTGAGCTAGCCTTCGATGTTATGAAACAAACGCAAGGCGGACACACACTGAGCTCTGTTAGGCATCCAAGCCGCTCTGAACTGTTCATATGATGTTCGTATGAGGTGTCATGACGCGTTTACCAAGGAGCTGGTGGTGGCCGTCAAAGAGCTGCGCTGGCGATAGGCAGTTAGTCGAGCGCGCATACTCGCGGGGTTAGAGCCTGTGAGCGTCGCCGCATCAGGGGCGCCGGTGTGATCATAGACAGTGTGGTGTGACAATGTCGTCTCTACTACGTCTCGTCATTTCATCTCAGAGCGTCTCACACTCATCTCACGGTGAACAAGCGGCAATCCTCGTCTGACGTCTCACTCGGTCTCACAACGGCATAGTTGCTCGGAGACACCCCATTAGCGCGGCTTGACCTCTTTGAGTCACTGCCTTTCCCGGCCTCTACAACAAACTCTACAGCAAAATCGCGCTCTACAACGCTCTACAACGCAGGCAGTTCGTCCCGCGGCGGATGTAGAGCTCTACAGCTCTACAGCGCTCCAGAGCGCTCTACATCTCTACACGCTTTATACAGTGGCTCTAACCTATGAGGCACTTCGCAGCAGCATCGTCGTTCCCCATGTGTTTGCGCCGGCATCCTTGAGCATACTACCACCATCCAAACCGACGTCTACAAGCCTGCGCACGCCACCCACCACTACCACGAGGTTCACCTCGTCGTTGTACCGCACCAAGCCGGTTGAGCCATCCACCGGCTCGATGTACACCTTGGTGTACGCCGTGTCAGCCGCCGTGTCCGTGTAGTCACCGCCGCCGTCGATGCGATTCATACCGTCGGAAGTGAAGATGCCAATCGCCTCGTCCTGCGTGATGTACGCGGTCGAGGCGGTGTCACTCAGCTTTGCGATCTTGAGCTTCGTGGTCGAGGCCGTAGAGGAGATGTCGACGGTGCGCTTCGCCACGTCCAGCAGCAAGTCGGCCGGCGGCGTGGACCAGCCGAACAGCACCTTCATCGGCATGGTGGGGTACACATTGGAGTCCGAGAATGGCAGCGCCACAACGGGAGGGTGAGGTGGTGGCAGCGGAGCGGGCGGCACGGGGGGAGGAGGGTTTGGCAGGGGTGAGGGCGGCGGCTCTGGCGGCGGCGGCAGAGGTGACGGTGGCGGCAAGAGCTCACACTTGTCACCGCCCCAGTAGACGGGAATGCGATCGGCGAGAACCGCCGTCGGGGCGCACTTGAGACCGGCGGGCTGGTCGCTGCTGGCGAACCAGCACAGCCCACCCTCGCAATGGGGCGCGTTGGCCTCTGCGCAGCAGGCCCAGCCCGAGCCCTGTGTGCAGAGCTGGCCTTGGACGGAGCACTCCCAACTGGGGCAGCTCGAGACCGTCGCCGCCAGGCTACGCGGGTCCGCCTCGCCCATATCCGCGTCCTCCCAAGCGGTCTCGCTCAGGTCGGGCGCCCCGTCTCCATCGCCGTCCGCCCCCGCAATCATCAGCACGCACTGAGGCACATGCGGGTAGGAGTGGTATGCGCCAGCGTGCCACCCCGTGCGATAGGTGCAAGCCGCGTCGCGGCCGTTGGCGTGCTGGGCCGCGGCGCGCTCGCACCACGCTGGACAGAGCGCCGCCTGCGGAGCTCCAATCGGCAAGCCATCTGGCTCCGCGGTCGGCCACTGACCGCTTATGCCCACCCAAGTGGAGGAGCCCCACCTGATGTACCCGTGATCGTCCCCCCAGCAGGTGCCGCCGGCGTGGCACCGGTTGACGGTGTGGCGGCGCGGCTCGAGAGCGGGGCAGCTGTACCTCGGCGTAGCTGGAGTGCACGCGTCCCACGAGGGGAGGCTGTCGCCAGAGAACCAGCAGCGGCTGCCCGTGCACTCGGCACGGGGCCTCGCGCAGCACGTCCAACCCTCTGCGCAGACCTGGCCTTGGACGGAGATTCCCAGTCGGGGCACCTCGCGACCGTGCCCGGCGCGACGCAGCCCCGGAAGAGCCGCCGCCGGCTGTGCGCAACGCCTGCCGCATCGAGAGCCGCGTGGGCCGACGCGACGAGCGCTTCCGCCACGGCGGCGTCATCTGTGTGCAGCGCGGCGCAGGTGACGTCGCCAGAGCAAACCTCGCTCCGCTCTCCATCGCGCACGAGGAGAGCTGAGCCGTTGATCACCTCGACCGAGCCGCCGCCGTTGAGCGAGAGCTGGGCCCAGGTGTTGGAGCGCTGCACGGTTGCGCTGACAGCAAAACTGCCGCGCAGAGCGGTGCCGCCGCCACTTGAGAAAGTCACGGCAATGCGCTCGATCTTGTTGAGCTGCTCGAGGCCCATCACCGGCAGAGTCTCGAGGGGCAGAGAGAACGATGCGGCCGCCGTCTGGAGGACAGCTCTGTGTCCGTCCGTGAGGAAGTGATTGGTTTCTTCCGTCTCGACGTACGCGTCCTTGAAGAGGCGAAAGAGGGCGGCGGTCACGCCGAGCAGGGTGCCGTTCTGAACGATGCAGATGAAGAGGATCACGACGATGGCAAGCTTGAGCTGCGACGCCGTGCGCATTGAAGCGATCTTCTCCCGGACTGCCTCCGCCACCTGCGGGTGGCGCGAGGGACGACGTCGGAGGTTGGGTATACTCCCTTTTGCAGACCGGGGGCAGGGGGGCGCGCCTCCGCCACGCTAACCTCCCCATCACCATCTCTGTCAGCAGCTCTGATGAGGTTGACGACGGTGCCGCTCCTGTTACGCCGAGCGACGCTGGCGACGCTGATCCGCTGCGAGGCTGATTCCTCATCAAGCGCCCTCGGGGTCGCCATTGCCAAGCGGCCGGCCGTCAGCGCCTCGGCCTCGGCCACAGCAGCCCTCCGCGACTGGGGGGGGGGGGGGGGGGGCAGTATGCCGGCCTGCAAAGTTCCGTATCGTGTTACATTGTATTGCGCTCACCGGACTGGCGAGGTACTTCCAGCCTGCTGTGGGAACAGCTGACGCAGTCTCGGGTTGACTCGGCCAGACAAAAACCCCGAGAGGCGTGGGAGTACCTCGCCAGTCACCGGAGCGGTTCCTCGATCGATGAAAAGCAGCGCGCAGGTGCCCGCCGGCAGCCCGGGAACTCGGGTACTCGGCCGGTGACCTCGGCCGGTAAGATTCGTTCTTTTCTTTCTTTTCCTTTCCAGCGTCTTCCCGAGCCTCTGGCCAGGGCGGACGGGCTCCTGCCGGTCTCGTGTCTGGGTGCGGAGCACTCCCTTTGCTGCCACTCATGAAATCGCTGGGTCGCTTTCAGTTCGTCACGAAGTCCCCTCGTGGGCGAAGATTTTCGCAGCTCCCGACGCCCGACAGTTTACGAAATGTGACCGGAGGTACCAAAGATATGGTGCATGTAACCACTCATATAACCATCCATAAAGGCGTCAAGCTGTGCACTTCCAGCACGCCCTCGCAGAAGCGAGAAAGGACACGCGAGTGCACGGGCGCACGGGCCACGGGGCCGCTGCCGCTGCCCCTAGGCGCACGGCGTCACCCCGCTGCTGCACGGCGGCAGGGGCGTGCACGCCTTCACCTTTGGCCAGAAGTTCTTGTCTTTCACGAAGCGGATGCCCTCGCCGTCGCCGCCCGCCTCGAATCTGCCGCGAAAGTTGTCCGGCCCGCCCTTGGGCGTGAAATCGATCGTGATGCCGCCGTCGTCCCCGTCGACGAGCGCCTCGAGCCGGAACCGCTCCGGCTCTCCACGGCCGCCGCCGCCGGCCACAGTTGCGAGACGGCGGCCCATCACGGTGGCGTCTCTCCCGCCCATCCCGTCGGCGTTGAGCGTGATCTCGCGGACTCCACCAGGGTGGTTTATCGGATCGGTGAAGGTGCCCGCAAAGATGGAGTCGCAGCGTGAGGCGCGGCCGCCGCCGTAGGTTGCGGCGCTGGCACGGTCGCGGCAGAGGACCGCGGCGGCAGCGCTGGCCAGTGCGGCTCGACGAGTGGCGACGAGTGGCGACGGCGAGAGACCGAGGGTGGCGAGAAGGACGCTGTGGAGCGCGGCGAGCATGATAGCAGCCTCTGAGATCGGTTGGACGAACAGTGTTCTGTGTGAGTGAGCGGGGGGAGCTCTGGCCGGGCGAGTAGAGGCCCTAGTGTCTATCTGAAGCAGTTACTTCCTGAAGTAACTACTTACTTCGAGAAGTAACTATCCCCGCGCCTGCAATGGCCCCTAGCCCCCGCCCACAGCTCCCTAGACACAGGGCAGACCTGGACTGGAACGGACCCGCTCCCTAATACTCTTCTGAGGAGTGGTGGTCACCGTCGGAGTCGGTGTAGGAGCTCCACCGCGCCCGCCGGGGCTTGTTCTTGGACTTGTGTACGCCGGGCGTATCGAGCACTTGGTCGCGGAGGCGGGCAGACCTCCTGCGCTCCCCAGGCGGCCTCACCGGAGCCTGCGGCGTGCTTGGGCCTGGCAGGGGACGGTGGGGGGTGCGCTCAGTGCAGTCGGGGGCGCCTTCATGACAGACTGCTGACAGAGGCACCTGACAGTGCCTGACAGTGGCCGCCAGCCCGACAGATCACTCACCTGACAGCACCTGACAGCCTGACAGCCAGGCAGGGCTCAGATGATGGGGTGGGTGCGAAAACCGCATTAAAGGATGGAGCGACACCGCTCGATCTACCCTCCGGGGTCCCTCAGCGGCGTGCACCTCGATCCTGTACCGTGTTTGTTATGACCCCCCCCCCCCCATTTTCACACCAGCGAGGGAGGGCGAGACGATCGAGGGGTCCCGTACCATGCGGAATCGACCCTATATCCAGTGCTCAAGTGCTCAAGACAAGGATGGAGCATCGACCATGATTGTGGTGCGAACGCCGAACCCGGACGGAACGCTCGGTGGCTTCGGCGTTCGGGGTCGCATCCTTTCGGTGGGGCCCGTGGTGAGTTACGACTTTTGCAATTGCGCTGTACTCGAGTAAATTACACGAGCTGGGCGTTGCGATCCAAAAGAAGAACCGAAGACACCGGGATACGGCATACGCGCGGGCCGGGGCGCCGGCGCGCGGCGGCTCCGGCTGGAGGGGCGCTCCAAAAGAAAAAGTGAAAATCCGTTGGACACACACAACAGCTGTTATGAGGTTGTTGCGGTATGCTGGCTGTCATAACAACCAGTGGGAGGTGTTATGAGTGCTATGATAAGGTTTGTATTTTTTATCTCTAACAATCGACAAGACAAAGAGTACAGCGGGTGGGGTCTCCCTTGGTGTGAGCACAGTGGCAACTGTTCTGCTAATTCACGGGGCCTGTACAAGCTTGGGGATTCGGGAGCGACTTGTGGCCCGTGGGGCAAGGCTCGCGCGTGCTTGCGCGAGGTTGCGCGAGTGGGCGGGCGAAGGGGGGGGGGGGGTCGAGACACCGGTGCGGGGAATGGCAGGGGGTCCCCGCCCCAGGGTCCCCGTCCCCGGCACTAGAGGTGTACAGCACCACACCCATGCACTTATGCAAGAGGGCGGCTCCGTCGAGAGGAGAGGAGCGCAGCCCGTTCTAAGATGACGCCGCCAAGCCAGCGGGAAGGGGGGGGGGTCTGGCCACAGTTTGAGCCCGCAGCCACAGCACTGGAGACGACGGCCGCCAGAGAAAGAGAGAGAAGAGACGCCTCAGCGCGCCAGCCCATCACCACAGGCGGGCGCGTTGGCGGATTGCCACGTGCTCCGTTTGGGCGGCCGCGTGGGCGCGCGAGGAGGCGGCGGCACTCTGCGGCGGCGGCGCGTCCACCTACACCCCACTCGTACTCACTGCTGACACAGTCCGCAGAACTTCCAACGCCGCGCCCTGTGCGGGCGCCGAGTCGTCCGCCGGCCAGCGCGACGAGCCGGCGTGCGCGAGCAGCCGGAAGAGGGAGGAGATGGAGCCGCTCCGCTGCATGCCGCCCAGCCCCTCCCCGCCGCCCTCCGGCTCGCCCTCTCGCGCAGCGGCGCTGCTGCCGTCGGCGAGGCCGGCTGGTCCGCGGGGCGGGGGGGGAAGGGGCTGGGCGGGCGGCGCGGGTTCGGGAGGCGGCTCCTCTCCGCCTCCGTCCTCGTCCCCCTCCTCCTCCTCTTCTTCTTCTTCTTCCGACGACGACGAGCTCGCCTGTCCCGAGATGTGCCGAGATGAGCCGAGATGGCCCGAGATGAGACGAGATGCCACTCCTCTTCCGGCGAGGGCGAGCTCGCCTCCTCCGCCTCCCCCATCTCCGAGTCGACGCCCCCCTCGTCCTCGTCCTCCTCGTCCTCGTCCTCGTCGTCCTCCTCCTCCTCCTCGTCGTCGTCCATGGCGCCGCCTGTCGCCGCCAGCAGAGCCCGCGTCGCAGAGTCGAGCGACTTCTCCCACGCCTTCACCAGTCAAGGATGAGAATGAGCTGACGCGTCGCAGACTCGAGCGACTTGCCCCCACGCCTCGTGCCCGCCGGTGAATCTCGTCGAATCTCGGCGAATCTCGGCGAGTCTCGGCGAATTTCCCCCGGTGCTCGCCAGTGCTGCTCCCCCTCTCTCCCCCTCTCTCCCCCGCCTGGTGCTCGCCGGCTGGCGAGTGCTGCTCCGCCCACGCATCGTACCGCAGCAGCGGGAGCACCTAGGGTGAGGGAGATATGGGAGATATGGGAGCACCTAGGGTGAGGGAGATATGGGGAGATAGGCGCCTCGCTGACAACGACCTCCTTGGGCAGGTAGGAGAGCACGCCCGCGCTCCGCGCCTAATGCATGAGCACCGCGGTGGGGAGATACGGGGAGACGCGGGGAGATACGGGGAGAGATGAGCTCCGCGCCTGAAGGATGAGCACCGCGCGCACCGCCGCCCTGTGGGCAGGCGGGAAGCGGCGGTGGCTCGTCTCGTCCCAGCGCGGAAGGCGCAGCGTCAGCTTGCGCTCCGGCGGCGGTGACTACAGGCACACAGAGCTCGGGCTCGCGTCTTTCTTTTTCGGCGTCCGCTTGCGCCCGGGCGGCGGCGCATTCGGCGGCGGCTGGACGATGCGCGTGAACTGAGAGGCGAGAGAGGGGGGAGGGTCAAGGCATACGCAAGGCATACGACAGGGTCACAATCTCCCCCCCCCTCCCCCCCGCGCCGCCGCCGTCTAAGCCCACCCCACCCCCACCCAATCGCCAACAGGGCGGCCAGCAGACCTGGACGGCGAGGGCGGGGGAGATTGCGTAGCTCGACTCGGAGGTGCGTGTCGCCCGGATGAGTTGCTGAGAGCCATCCGGCCAGCCGAGCGGGCCAACCAGGACGCCGCCCACCTGGAGCAGCGCCAGCACGCCCGCCGTCGTGCCGACACTCGCGCCCGCGCCGATGTAGATGCGCGCGTACCTGCCGGGGTGCTCTCGGGTGCTCTCGGGTGCTCTCGGCGTGCTCTCGGCGTGCTCTCGAGTGCTCTCGGCGTGCTCTCGAGTGCTCTCGGCTGCTCTCAAGTGCACCGCATAGAGCGTGCGAGGTCGATGCTAAACACGGACGCGGCGTGGAGCTCGACATGCGAGCAACCGACCTGTGAATGGAGCGACCTGTGAATGGAGTGACTGGTAGCTGACTGACTGTATTAGCTGCACGACGTGCGGTTAGTGCCTGAGAAGGCTGCCGGAAGGGGCCGCAGCTGGGCTGTGTGCGTGCGTGTGTGGGTGAGCTGTGTGTGTGCGTGTGTGTGCATGTGCATGTGTGTGTGTGTGTGTGTGTGTGTGTGCGTGTGTGCGCGTGCGTTCGTGTGTGTGTGTGTGCTCCTTTGCCAGCCGCGAGCGCGCGTGCTCCACAAGCCACGCGTTGTGCTCCACGCCGTGGTGGATCGCCTGCAGTGAACGAACCCACTCATCGAAGGGGAAGGAAGGCGTTGCCCTGCAGATCGGTCGCCTGCAGGACAAGTCCGCGAAGCGTCCGAGAAGCGTGATAGAGGGCTCGCGGCGGCGTCCTGGCGGCGGGCGTCCTCGGAGCCGAGGATTTGGGGAGATTTGGGGAGACATGGGGATATGGGGAGATGTGGGGAGATATGGCGGGCGTCCTCGGAGCCGAGGATTTGGCTCGCGATGGCGGAGAGGTAGCCGGCGCCGGAGCCGATGTTGAGGAAGGAGAGGCCTGTGGAGGAGAGACGAGGAGATGTGGGGAGATATGGGGAGATGTTGAGGAAGGAGAGGCGTGTGGCGGGCCGGCTGGGTGGCGGAGGAGGAGGGGCAGCCGAGGGGGTTGTTGACCCAAGTGTGGGGAGGAAGGGGAGGCGTGGCGGGGTGGGGCGGGGGGGGTGGCGGTGTGATGTGGCCTCTCTGGCGTGAGGTCCTCCCCCAACCGCTCGCGCGTGCGCCGGCGGGCCCGTGTCGGATGTCTCGGAAGCGTCTCGGAAGCGTCTCGGAAGCGTCTCGGAAGCGTCCCCGGGAAAGTGTTGGACCTGGCCGGAGGTCGAGCGCCTCGAGGGCGGCGGCGTAGATGGAGGGCGCCTGCGGGCGGGTGCGGAGCGGCCGCGGCCGGCGTGTCTCAGCCGCGCTGCCGCGTCCGGACGAGGCGGGGAGGCGGGGTGGCAGGGCGACCGAGAGGTGGACGCCAGAGCAGCGGAGCGGCATGTCGGCATACGCGCCCGAGGAGACGTCTGCGTCGTCGGAGATGAAGTGGGCCCGATCGACAGCTAGGAAGGCCGCCTGCGTGCCACGGTACCACGCCAGTCTTTCCGGTGCTGGGGCAGCCAGAACCGGCAAGAAGAGAGGGCGAAGCGAGGCGCGGGCTGCGGCGCCTCAACGGCGGAGCTGCGGATGGTGCCGCAGCGAGACATCTTGTGCACGAGCTCGGCGTTTGGTGAGAGGGAGCGGCGCGATAGGCACCATTCCATGCTTCTCCTGTCTCCTGTCGGAGGGCGCGAGCACCCGCACAAAACGGCAAATTGCTGCAACCCAACCCTTCCACTCTGACTCTCCATCCAAACTCCTCTCGGAGCTCCGCCGAAACTGGCTATTTTATTCCGCGAGATTAGAAGAAAATTTCGCTCTTCGGCATCATGTCGACTTGGCAAACGCGGCACTCCCTAATCATTACAAGAAACACTTATGCCGCCCAAGCCAATGGGTGTCTAAGGGTCTCTGACACTCCTGGATGCATGCACAGTCACAAACGGTGTAGAGGGACTCATGTCGTGCCAGGGGGCCGGAGAAAGGAGTAGCAATGTTCGGAAGCGTCCGAGGGCGAGGCGGTCCCGAGCGGTCCCGAGTGGTCCCGAGCGGTCCCGAGTGGCCCCAGACAGAGCACCCCAGAGCACCCCAGAGCAACCCAGAGCACCCCAGAGCCTATACCTGAGAGCCCACGACCGCTTGGCAGGCACCTGCGCGGAGCCTGTTTCTTGTAATGATTAACATCCTAGCTAGCTACTTTCACCTGCCCAACCAAGCTGCAGCCGATTCGACTGGGCTGATCAGGGCAGCCACCTCGCAGCGGCAGCAGGGCCACAGGGGTGGGGAGAAAGGTCTCACTCAAGCCGCGGTTGTTGTTACTGTGGCCGCTAAAGGCCGTGCCTAGGCAGAGCTGCGCGAGCCGGATCGCGGTCACAGCTGTGGCAGCCGCACCAGTACGTAGGTAGGCTGTGGCTCGATCGGCGCTAGATCGGCCATTTATCGTTTCTGGACACGCTGGCCAACACGCTCTGGCCAACACGCTACATACACGCACACACGCATCAACAACACATCAAAAATCTCTCTCTCACACACATCGGACGAGCCCTATCCGCGAGGCGCCTATCCGGCTAGGAGCTGAACCCTGCTGCCTCTCGCGGTTGGGAGCTGGGAGGGGATGGGCGCCGCGCGCTGCGCGCGCGCTCGCTCGATGCACTTTTTTCTTTCTTTGTAAAATTCTTTTCTCCATAAAATTCTTTTCTCCATCGAAAAGTCTGCGAGCGTGCGACGGGCGTCGGCGAGTGAATGATACGGAACTAGCACGCAATCACAGGTTTTTATGACATATTTGTATCCCTAAATATGTCGATGCTTTCTTAGCCCCGCCCGGTACCGCCTGGCCCTCTCCCTCGAGGCGTCGACCGCGCGCTCTCAGGTTGGGCCGCCTGTCCCTCACATCCTAACTCGTCATTGCTCGTCAGCGCGGTGCTTGCGCCGCAGCCGCCCGTGCGCGTCCAGCAGCCTGCGGAAGCGCCTCGTCACGTCCGCGCGCTCCCTCTCGCTCAGCCCAGGCAGCTGGTCGGGGTGCGACGCCATCGCCAGCGCACGGAAGGCGGCGCCGACGGCGGCGGAGGTCGGGGGCGGCTCGGCGCGCAAGCCGAGCAGTGCGTAGTCGTCGGCGTCCGCCGCTTGGCGAGGCGCGCCGAAGCAGGGCAGCCCGCGCTGCCGGCCGCCCTCGTCTCGCCGCTCGAGCTGCGGGTCGAGCTCGACGTTGCGCACCTGGTGTCGCAGCGAGGGGTGGAGGAAAAGGGGGAAGGGGAAGGGGGGGGGGGGGGGCTTTTGCCGCGAGCTGCCCCGCCACTCGCGGGCTCGTCCTCACGCCTCGCCACGCCTCGCATGCCTCACCTCGGCGCATCTCGGCGCATCTCGGCGCATCTCGGGACGTGTCCTGGACATGCCCGCCACGGTCAGGCTGTCCGCCCGGAAGCAGCGCAGACACAAACGCGCGTTGGTGAGCTCATCTCGGCTGGTCTCGGGCTGATCTCGGGTGAACTCGGCCTCCTCCGCTCTGAGACGCAGCAGCGCGCCTACATAGTCTGAGGGTATCCTAAAAGTTCGGCCGATTTGGGTCAAAACGCTAAAAGCACCCACGTTGGTAGATTTGGGGCAAAACGACAAAAGTGGGCCCGCCCGGGGCAAAATGGTAAAAACCGCACTGTTCTTTCGTGCAGCCGGGTTGACGCGGGGCCTCGGATTTAGCCAAAGTGACGCGCGCGCGCGGGCGGAGTGGCGGACGCGAGGACGCTGCCGTCAGACGAGGGGTTGCTATCATACGCAAGCACGAGCGGTCGGTGACGCGACGGCGTGTACATCACCGTTGCCCAGGCAGGCGCGAAAGTGTGTTGTGGGAGCCATGTCCACCGTGTATGTCCCCGCAGCGTGGGCGATTTTAAGTGTCCACGGTTGCACGTTGTCGCGCGCGGATCGCACGACCGTAATCAGCATCCTTGCAAACGCCGACATGCACAGCCTCGCCCGCCTCCCAAAGCCCTCAAGTCGCAAGAAAGCTTACGGTATGTTGTGGGGGATCGTGGGGGGACGGAGCGCGATGATGGCAACACAATCATGGCCGTGCGCGGCGTGCACGTTCGAGAACAATAACGACAGGGCTCGTTGCGAGATGTGCGAGACTCCCAAGCCGACAACGACAGCGTACGCAGGACTGGTCGACCCATTTCCCAGCGCTGCTCCGGCTCGGCACCCAGTTCCCAGCGCTCCGGCTCGGACGACACTGTGGATGTGCGAGCGCTGCACACTGGAGAACAAAGTGGAGGCCGCCGTGTGCGCCGCGTGCGAGGGACCGCGGCCCGGCAACGTGCGCACGGCGGTGCCCTTGGTCGACGACAACTTGAGCGAGGAGCAAATGCTTGCGCTCGCGCTCTCCGCTTCGCTGGAGGACAGCACCTCCCCAGCGCGGCTCACCCCGCTGCCGCCAACAGTGCCGCGACCGGCAGCAGCAGCCTCTGCCGAGTCCTTGCTCGCACTTATCGAGGCTCTGGGACCACCGCAGAAAGGTACGAATGCTAAGGTGGAAGCTGGCTTCATCGACAAGGATACGCCGGCACTCCAAGCACGGCTCGAGGATCTCCCCGACGTGGCGTTCCTTGCCGCTCAAGGGATCTCAGAGGCAGAGCACGCCACAGTCACGCGTGCCCTGCAGCACGGACTGCCGTGGCGGCTCACGCTCGGCTTGACGATCGAGGCGATGGAGAGCTGCATTGCGCAGCTGCCGCACGACGCTGTTGAGCAGTGCAACCGCGCCATCCCGTGCAAGGATGACGGCACGCCCAAATACCCTATCAACAACATGCTCAACGGCTACGTCAACCAGCATCATATCCGCGAGGCAAGCAAGGATGATGGCAAGGCAACATGTGAGCGTATGATGCTGCAGGGCACACGTGGTGTGGGTGTGGCGACCGTCTTCGTGAGTTGGTACCTCGAGACGCCACTCGTGAAACTGGTCGACACGCTCAAGGCCTTCCGGCAGCAGCACACTGAGTTGCCACACGATACCAAGTTCTGGGTCTGTGATTTCGTGATACGACAGAGGACCAGGGACTTGACAGAGGAGCTGAACGATGTGAAGAAGCTTGGGCCGTGCGTGCGCTCGGTCGGGCACACGGCGCTCCTCATGCAGCCGTGGGATGACCCGCTCACGTTGCAGCGCGCGTACTGCATCAAGGAGGTCTACCACACAGTGGCATCGGGCGCACGCCTCAGCATGGCCATGGATTCCGAGGAGCAGGGGCGATGTGATCGCGAATTCGATGTCCATCGCTTGACGGCGAAAGGCTTCAAGGTGGATGTGCGTAGAGCCAAGTGCCTCAAGCCTGAGGACACAAAGGCCATCTTGGCTGAGCTCGAGCACGAGGTGGGTGCTGAAAGGTGCAACTCTATGGTGAAGGACGCGGTGGAGGACGCGGTTAGGCATGCGTTCGACAGCAGAATGCATGGGATGCCCCTTAAAACTGCCTCGGTCTGGGCGGATGTAGCGACGATTGATGCCGCCGACGCCATGGCCGCCGCCGACGCCGCCGCCGCCGCCGTTGCCGCATTTGAAGCTGAGCTTCAAGGGGAAGCTCAGCCTGAAGCTGCGCAAACCAACCCCGCCCACACCACCGACGTCGTTGCTGCGGACTCGTCGCCGCCGCCGGCGCTACCGTGAAACTGTGTCGCTTGACGCGCAGCCCTCGGCCTGGTCGTCATCTCACACCTCAGCATGGCAACCATCCTCTCAACAAAGCATCCCCCATGATCTCATGCTTTTCATGCATTTTTTCATAGCAACTGTGTACTCAAGGTGCCACCCATGATTTTTACATGACCGTCACCGGGGCTGATTTCATACCTAAGAGAAACACCGTCGCGCCGTGCTCAATGTCAATCTCGTCGACTGTTCCATCGATCCCACTACCCGATGAGGCTGACACGTGACAGCCCGGGGGGTAGCGCGGCACACGCGGCAGCACTCCCGAGCGCCAGTGAGGTACGTGCGAGCCCGCGGTTCGTGCGGACCGATGTCCGGACATATGGCCGCTCTCTCCCATCCGGGGTCCGGCGTATCGGTGTCCGTTACAGCTGTAGCCTGTACGCCGTCCGTGACCCGTTGCTTGTTTTAGCTTCTTTTTACATTTTAGTTGTTATTGAGACGACACCGCGCGCATCGGGCGCGCTCCCAGGGGTCTCCCTGTGCCCCTGCCACACACCGCGTCACGCCGAATCCGCTGCACTGTCATGTCGAGGATGCGTCCTTATGAGGATGCGTCCTTATGTGTTGCAAACTTGTCCGCCGATAACGATTGGGGTAGGGGCCCCAACTCTCGACAACTCGTGATAGGCCACAAGTTTCCCGCAGGCGCACGCGCCGCGCTGCTCGGGCCGCGGCGGCGTGGTCGGCGCCGGCACCGAGGATGGCGGAGGCGTTGCGCGGCGGCGCGGCGGCGTCGGCTCGTGGTTGGGCGGGGTGGTGGGGCGACGTGCCGGCGCTCGCGTTCCTGCTGCTAACGTGAGCGGGAGGGCGACGAGGGGAGGGGTTTGGGGGGGGGCTTCGGAGAGGCAAACCGCCTACGCCGTCTGCAGGGCAATGGTGGTGGGGCGGGGGGGGGGGGAGGGGGTGCCGGGGGGAGGCGCCGCGGTACGTTCCAATAGTTGGCCCGCAGCTTCTGGCCGCGCGATGGACCCTTTGCGGCAACCAGGGAGGTTGAGGGTGAGCCAGCGGTGCGACGCGAGCGAGACAGGCGTGTGGTCGTCGAGTACGGGGCATGTTGTCGCGAGAGAGATTGCGAGCGGCGTGAACCTCGATGACGATGTGTGCATGTCCTCATGAATCATGATTGTGGCTGGCGTACGCATACATGTACATGTCGAAAAAACAACAAAAGTGAGCAAGTGGCCGAAGAAAGTAGCCAGTACGCAGTAGCGAGTAGGAGTACACACGTAGGCACAGCTAAGCAGAAGTCCCAACCAACGAAGAGCCCAGCCCAAGGCGCAAGGGCAAGGCCAAGCCGCTAGCTGGCACCCCTCCACGACACGGACGGACACGCGGCAGCCGCAGTACTTGTGCTCCGCGGAAGACCAAACAAGCACAGAGGGGCGAGTGAACTGGGAGAATTGACAGCTCTGAGAACACACATCTAGGCGAGGGCGCGGACACATCGGGGGGCTGGCACACACAACGCACCTGACGATAGCATGAACTAATCGGCCGTCGGAGCCGGCGAGCGGCGTTTTGGGATGCGAGAGAGCGAACTCGTACCCGCACCACCCTTGGCGGCGACAGCAGCACCGTGCGACACGGTGCTTCTGCCTTGCAGCTAGCACCGCACACGTGGGGCGACAGGGCCGCTGCCAAGGCAGCTTACTGGACAGATCTGCAGACGCTTTGCGACCGGCGGCAGTAGAGGTGCACTCGACGGCGCGCCGGTAGCTGGGCCCAAGGCCGTCGCGAGGTCGGACGTCAGCGCCCGTTTCACCTCGGCGGCAGCGAGCCGCTTCAACTTCAAGTCGTAAACGGCTCTGTGAAAACTGCTTGCTGATGGCGTCGGGAGCAGGAAAGCTCGCTTCTGCACAGGGAGAGGGAGTGACGTTGGACTTCTGCCAGCAGCGCTCGGTGGCTGAGTGACGGTACGCACCATTGCGTCCTCTCTGGCGAGGGTTGCGGCGAGGTGAGCGTCTCGACCTGCGTGGACGGACTGGAGTGGAGCAATCGACGAAGAGGAAGTTCCGGGCGAGCCGCGTCATTTGCCAATGAAATTCGTTTCTGTTTCCGACCCGTCGCGTCCAGTTGTGCGAGATTTTTGTGCTGGGAGCTCCAATTCTTTCTTGTCGGCGTCCTGTTGGGAAGTAAGCCGCTGGTGCACTTCTGACAACGATACGCACGACGGGGAAAAGAGAGAGGGGGTGGGTGGAGAAGGGATCCTCGACGGTGGAGAGGCGCGAGAAATACAATCGCGTCGGCTCAGAAACGAGGCAATACCCGTCTTGGTGCGATAAATTTGAGGGCTGTTTGCCGAATCGAATTCTTTTTTTCAGCTTCACGGAACAGCTGCACGGCTGGCTCGAGACGGCTGGCCGGGGTTTACCGCACAGCGGCGGGCGAGAGAGGCAGCGGCCAGCGGGGGCGAGGGGGCTGGCGAGGGGGGCGAGGGGGGCGAGGGAGGGGAGGGAAGGGGAGGGGGCGGAGGGAGGGGAGGGGGGGAGGAGGGGGCGGAGGGGGGGAGGAGGGCGGCGACGCGTTCCTCCGCGTAGGGCGTAGCGGCGCTGCTGCGGCGGGCGGGAGGCGGCTCGGCCTTGCGGCGGGGCGGCGGCGCGTTGGTCCACGAGCTCACATCGGGCTGGTCAGATTATGCATGGGCAGAGGACTTTCTGCGTTCCTATAGGGGTTGCGTATCGCAGGTGAAATCATAATCCGTGAAATCATAATATTGAATGACCCCGTGGTAAAATGTTGCTCCTTGGTCATAGTTCAGGCCAGGGAAGTATCTTGCATCTGGATACCCTGGAGTCATGGTGCGACCCAAATCTGCCCATTTTATGGAAAAATTAAAGATTTACAAAGGGGAAAATAAAAAGGGCAGCCAAACCCTTTTGGGAAACAAGGGAAAAAAAAACGGGTAGGTGCAGTCGTACTCATACCAGACTGCTTTCAGCCCAACCGGATCACAAGTCATGCCGCGCAGACCGCAAATCGTGCCGCAGCTGCGTCGCTTTGCCGTATAGTCTTGTTGCCCACACCGCCATCGCCGTCGGGGAGAGGGGGGACGACACTGCTTCGGCAGCGTGCACCACCCCGATCGATCCTGTATGTACCGTGTTTGTTATGACCCCCCCCAATGATCACTCCAGTGAGGGAGGGTGAGACGATCGAGGGGTCCCGTACCACGCGGAATCGACCCTATCCGGTGCTCAAGTGCTCAAGGAGGGAGGTTGCAAACGGGATGTGACTGGGAGGGTCCCCGGCCCCGTCCTGCTCCTCCTCACTGGCCCCGTCAGTCAGTCTGCTCTCGATTGATGGCGGATCCGTCTGCCGCCTCGCTGCTCTCACCCCATCTGCCTGACCTTCCTCACTGGCGCAATATATAATAGGCGCTCCAAATCGCACTCGGCTCACTCTCCTACTCGGCCTCGGCCGATCCCGACGGCGGCATCGCGCGGATCCCGCTTCGCGTCAACCAGACGGCGCGCCGGCTCGCAAGGAGCAATGGACTGGCGACCGCGCACCTCGGCCTCTCCGGCGCGAACGGCGACGAGGTGCCGATCAACGACTTCCAGGACGCGCAGTACTACGGCCCGATCTCGATCGGCACGCCGCCGCAGCAGTTTGAGGTCGTCTTCGACACAGGCTCGTCGAACCTGTGGGTCCCGTCCAAGAGCTGCTCGTGGAGCAACATCGCGTGCAAGGCGGAGACTTGCCCGTACCTCTCCGCTCGCGCCCCGCCATAACATTGCCACACGCCAACACGCCTCTCACTGCCGCCCGGGGGGGGGGCACCTTTTTCACCGGGGAATTTTTTTTTTT